CAGCCTCATGAGCTCAATGCGCAGCTTCTGGAGCATTTGCAGCTGCCTGCGCTCCATGTCCTGTGTGGACTCGTCCTGCCGGATCATCAGCGCATGCTCCATCTCCTTCTGAGTCCTCTTCTTGTTCAGCTCCTGGGACAGGGGATTGTTTGCAATTTTATTTAAAAAAAATACAACTGATGATCCTGATTGGTTCAGCTGTTTTTTTGGTGTTCCTCAGAGATCTGAGTTAGGTCCTCTTTTTTTTAAGTTCCAAATTTAATAAAGTATAAAATATAGTTTTCTTCTTTAAACTGATTTAGATGACAGGTTTCTTTAATGATAATAAGTTTAATAAGTTAAGATAACATGTCACACATAAAATTGTTAATTGCTTAGCCATATGTAGTGGTTTAGCCTACAGCCTACAAATACTTTTCAGCACCTTTTACAATTTACCTGAAAAGTGAATTATAGTCTTTTGATGTTTACATTGTGATCTGTTTTGTAGGAAATGACATTACCTCTCTGAGTTGCTCCTGTTCAAACTCATGCCTCCTGATCAGACTCCGGCGTTTGAGGGCCCTGCAGCTGCGGTCGTAGACCAGCCTCTGCTGGGCCAGCAGGTGAGCCTCTTCCTCCGCCTGAGAGCGCTGTATTGTTTCTTTGTGCCTGGACAGACGCTCCTGCTTCTCTTCCTTGGGTGTACAAGGGTCTTCACTCATCTCCTGTAAAACACACACAAATAAAGAGTTACATGAGCGTGATCAACTGAAGACAATGACTTATAATGTTGGTTTAATGTTCCACAGATGAAATGTTTGAAATAATGCTCATTGCACTATATTTGTTCATGTCACTGACGTCTTTGATCTTATCTTTGCAAATCCTGTACTCCTTTTTCTGATCCTCCAAGAAAGAAGTCAGCTCTCTCTTTTGCTGAGCAACAATCTGTTGCTGTATCCTCCTCTCTTCTGCTGCAACTGACTTCATCTGTGAAGAAACGTTCAAATATGAAAATAAGCACCCTTCATTGATCTGTTAATAGCCATAAGTTTGACATGAAGTTACTTAAATCACTTTGTCATTCCCATACCTCTTTGTCAGTTTGAGCAGCGTGCCGTTTGGCCAGTCGTTCCAGCTCAATGTAAGTGTTGTTTGCATGTGTCTCTAATTCCTTCTGCAGCCGGAGCCTATGCTCATCCATCTCGGCCTTTAGCCTGTTCTCCAGGGCGATCAGCTGCTTCTGGTGCTGCCGCCGCATGCGCTTATACCCAGACATCTGCTCCCGCAGCTCAAAGTCCTGCTCATGCTCCTGGATCTACCTGATGACCTGGGGAGAAAGAAAAAAGGAAGACGGTAGATAGATAAGTTAACGTGAGATATTTCTGTTGTGAAGGACAGCCACTGCTTTTAAGGTTCATACTCACAAAAAAGGAAAGTTCCTAGATTTAAAGAGCTTCAACTGTGTAATTTCATTTACATTCTTAATAAATCCAGTCCTGGTTAAAAAAAAAAAAAAAGAGGCAACATGGTTTAATAAATCTCGTCAGCACCATTTCTGATAAATAAGTAAAGTGTATGTGGAACCATATGGGACAAACTGTGAAATAGGCTACATTTAGAATTTTAATGAGAAAAGACAGAGAAATGCAGCATTTACAACTTGACAAAATCCAAACTGGGGGTAGACATCAGGCAGGGATTTTTATGGAAAAGATATAAATGCAACAACACACATGAAAGCAGAGGCAGAGAGGGAAGCTGAGGATGGAAAAAATGACATCCATTAACAGGATCTGGTTGCCATGACTACAGATGTACAGCTGAGAACACAGACACCCCTCTCCTTCCCCTCTCCTCCTTACCCCCCGCCGCCAGCACGCGCACATACACTCACACACGCACGCACGCACACAGACACACGCGCGCGATGTAATGCATAAGCAGGGAAAGAGTATGAGCTGCGTACCAAAGATGCTGATTTGATGGTGGCAATGTGTTCACAGATCTTGCAGTCGAGAGACCGGCTCTTGTGAGAAGTAGGCCGCAGCTCTGGCCTGGTGTCCCTGTGCACAGCCTCATCCCTCACGCAAGCATGGTCCTGCAGGGGGGGAGGAAAAGGAGGAGATAGTGGGGCTGGGTGCTTCCCAGGCCCTCCGCACTCGCCGATTTTGCTAGAGCTGCTATTATTGCCGAATCTCCCTGAATGCAGCACACATCCAGCTTTAAATGCATCCTTCCCCTGCTTGATCCCCCGCTACTGGCTACAAGTTCTTCCTACGAGAGAAAAGGACATAGCCAAACAATTGCAGGCACCACCGAGAAGGCAGCTTCTAGATGTAGTCGTCTTTTTTATCCGGCGTCCCCCTTTTCCCAAAGAGAAGGAACCAAACGGCTCCGGTGGAAAAGGGTGAATTATGCAATGCCTACCATTGATAATCGGAGAAAGATAACACAGGGTTGAATTTTACTGCCACTCTCCTTTTCCGTTTCAAAATGCAAGAAACGGTGGGGAGGAAAAACACTTTCCCTGTGTTCCAATGGTTGCATGTAGTAGCATATTTAAAAAGATCAGATTCAGATAAGGCACATCCAAACATGGTTTTCCCTCGAATATGTCGCTTGATGATCCGTTTGTATTCCACTCCAATTTCTGTCCTACATTTACAGCGCACTTGGTCATGGTAGGTGGTTCTGGTGCCTTCTATTCATCTCTTTCCTCTGTCCCTCTTCTACACTCCCCCTTCCTTTAAAGAGACACCGCAATACTACAGCCTCATCTCACGCTGTCTCCCCCCTTTTATTCCTACACATACTGATAAGATTTTCGTATTCTTGGAGCTAATTTTAAAGTAAATGGAATTAGTGTCACTTTTGGGAGATTATTCAGAACTATCACGCTCTGCAGGCTGTTGTTACATATTGCAATGTTATTTTTTTTTTAAAATAATAATATTATCTCATGTTAGGAGTTTAAATAAATAAAATAATTAGTCCATGGGAGTAATGCTTGAAAGTGGAAATCTCAATACATTATTCATAGGCATAGGTGTATGGACAGGTGCACCACCTGAATAGTGCACCTGAAAAAAATGGCATAGTGACACCATGTGGTCAGTTAGGCGTCTGCATGTTGTACAGTTAGTAAATAGGCTAACTGTACATTTAAGAAAAGCACATTGTGTTCACTGCACGATGTTAGTTCAACAGATTTGCACCTATAAAATAGCCGTCCATTGCCATTTTGGATTGTGTGGGAAACTTATCTTCTGGTCATATATAGACTGTATAAAACATGACCTTATTGACCTCACTCATTGGTTTCTGAAGACGCATTTTGAAGCCCAACTAAGAAGGTTACCATGTTGGAAATGCTATCTCAACGTAACTTTCAATCAGTCTAATAACAGGAAAAAAGGTAGAGTTGAGCTTAAGCCTCCTACAATCAGTATGTGCAAACCTCATAGTCAAGTCAGCCTTTTCCTAATCATTTAATAAAACTCTTAGCCTTAATATCATCCTAAAGGCTAAATTATAAGAAAATTCAAACCATGTACAGTTTTTGTTCTGGAACCTAATGAGGACTCCTGTGTAGGCTTTTGTAGCCAGCCTCAAGTGGACACTTGAGGAACTGTGGCCTTTTTTACACTACCCTTTGGCAAGTGCAGAAAAAAGCATTGCCTGCTTGCCTTAGTTTAATAATTTATCTTATCTACAACAAATTTGGTGCATACCATATTCAAATAACTCCAATAAAACTTAATAGCTAATTTTTGGTTACTATATCACTTAATGTTTGTCTGTAATCATAATGACATCGCCTTATACCTATTTTAATGCTTGCACCCAAGTTTTGCAGATTTGTACCTTTAATTCCAGTAATCCAATGCAAAATATTTCAAACAATTTTTGTTGTTTCTACAATCTTCAGTAAAAAACTGCAAAACTGTTGTTAGGTCGGTTTTTATTCTTAAATTCAGCTTGCTGGCCACATTCAATCACCAGAGATGATGAAGTCTTATAGTGACCACTCTTTGAACAGCCCAGTGAAATGCCGACATGTTGCATCTTTGCAATGGTCAGAAAAATATGTTTTATTGATTACCTTGCTATGGCACCTTCTGACCCAAACAAGCTCCTCTATGGTGTAACACAGTGAGTGGCTGTCTGAAAGCAAGTGAAGCAGCTCAAATATGATTGGCTACCAACCCTGTCCTCCACTAATATAATCTTTAAAATTATAGTTCTGATTTTAAAGACACTTAGGGGCAATCAGCGGATGAATGAAAAATCAAACAGTTCTTCATCCCTGTTAATATGAGCAATGTTTATCATAGATTAGGGGGGTCTGTTTTAAGGGTTCTGTTGACACACGTCATTTATGTTGATGACAGTGTGCTTTTTAACTGCTCCTTCTGTAATTCAAACAATAACATCTAACTCTGCTGTCATGAATGATCTATTTGTTGACACTGAGTGAGTAAAAAACAAAACAATCTCTCCCTAGGTTCCCTTTGTGTGTAATATTCAGGTAAAGCACTAGATGTCACTGTTGCCTTTTGGGTGGCCTTCATCAGATCCGCTTTGTATCTATCGGTTCCCCTTTACCTTGTAAGCTGTCTTGAACTGTCAGAGCTGAATCATTACATCATCACAGTTTCCCGATTGCCGAATACCTTCATTTCATCGAGCTCCTGGCAATGATGTCCTCAAGAACGCTACATGACCGCAGTGATTTCAAACAGATTTTTTGGGGGGGCTAATTTGGAGGAAAAATGGAGAGTGAAAATTGTACTCATACAAAAAAATAAAGCAGTGTCCAAATATCAAACCAAACAGGACTGTTAGTGCCCTCTGGTGGTACATTTGACAAAAAAATGGATAAACTATGACAAAAGGAGCAAAGATTCATAATTAATTAAGATTATACTGACTGAATTGGTCCTCTTATCTGTTAAGGAAAATTATAAGTAAGGAAAGACACTCATAAAGAATGTATTTGTTTATTTTCATGGCAGAAGCTTACATGTGCCGAAGATAGAAAATGTTCATTATGGCTGCTCATTCAATGCAGCAGTGTGCAACTCTTAGTACGAACACAAAATAGATCCGCAGCTTTTAAAACAAATACAATGCATGTATATGATTCATTTTCTACTATATTACCCTGATACACACAAGCAGAATTACTTGTAATGTAATAGTCAGCAACTACTGTATCACCCTTAAAAAGCTGACAAGTTTGTCGTTGTTGTTTTTCTAAAATAAAGACTTAAAAAGTGCAAGGAAAAACACATTACATTATGTTTTAAAACGAAGGCCATGCCAACCCTTTAGAGTTGACATGCAAAAAAACACTTTATGTTCAGAGTCACTTCTGAGAGGTATTGCTCCGTGTGCATTTAATTAGTATTATATAGGAACCTCTTAGCATGAAAACTCACTATTTCAGTAAATTTCATTGACTGCTGTACTCTAACAAACAATTATCTCTTTTCTTATGTCAAAGCTTACAAACAATGAAGCAACAAACAATGAGGGCCACATTTAACTGTAGACCCAAAGTCAGCTCACTACTGTCACTCTTCACCGTCCTGTGTCTGTCTGATCTGCACCGGAATTACGATCTCATTGGTTGTTTCACTGAGGGACGTCCCGGGGGTGGGGGCCTCTACGGACAACACGCCGTCACCAGAGAGAGAAGAACTGATGTGCTGCAGGTCAACTCCCTGTGGCAGCCTTAAAGAAATAAAGAAGTTTATCACCATCGAACATCATCATCTACAAATCACACACATCAAAAATCATCTTGTCCAGTCGAGAAGACCCAAAGTATTTACCGTAATGAAGCCCTGCAAGTCACAGAGAGGGATCTTTTTTATTTTGTATGGTCAAGTTAAGAAAAGTCTGTAGCATATGTCGGCAACAAGGCAATTCAAAATGCTTCACACACAACATCAAGAGCATCATGACAAAGAGAAAAGTAATCTTTCTCTTACAAGATGATTATCATGTTCAAATAAGTTGTTGGATAATGATCATGGGCACAAACAAGTTATTGTCCTGTGCAAACATGTGATAATAAGAAGTTGTTATCTTGTGTGAGCTAGTTATAATCTTGTGGGAACAAGTTATTATCCTGTAGAACAAGATAATTATCCTATGCAAAAGGTTAGAATTTTGTAGGAGAAATACAAAAATCTTGTGTAAACAAGATCAGTTGTGTGCACAAGGTATTCCTGAAGGTAATTTTTGTGTATGCACAAGATATGAAATTATCCTTTTCCACTTCCGGGCTCCACAGTCTTTCCTTTTTGATTTTGTTATTTTGTATCCATGTTTATATAGCCTTCCTACAAGTTTATCCATTAGTTTATATTCCTAATCTTTTCATAATACACAGCAACCATATTTAATCTAACAGAGATCTACGACGATTGATTTAAAGTAACAAAGTTGTCTTATTCTCAATGTAACTTACTTGTATTTTCGGGTGAAGCACCTTGAAACCGATCCATGCTCATCCTGCTTTTCCTCATGATTCCCTAGTATTAACAATAAAGCTTCAGTATGTGTACAAAGAATGTTAACTTATTACAATATTTGTGTCACATTTTACAAACAGCTTATGGAAAAAACAGGCCTTTTTAATATACCTGATATTTGCAAATAACCCTCCTTGGTTGAGATTGTAATTTCCTCAGGTGAGAAGTGATTGACATCCAGTTTAATCCTCCAGCTGTCCTGCCCTGTCTGGATCTCTGACACTCCACCTGTCAGCTGCCTCACACCCTTTTCATTCACCGGTGCAGGGCGCTGACCACAAAACGGAGGCAGAAGAGGAGTTTGTGTATACCCAGGCCAGGAGAAAGATGCCATTCTCCTCTTCGCCCAGTTTAACCAGTCCAGATCACTGGAGTCAAGGAAAGGAGGGAGGCCAAAATCCTGCGCAAAGATGAGGTTTGGCTGAGTCCAGTTTGGGAAAGGGTCCCACCTGACATCTCGGCGGAAAATGGGACGGGATAGTTCTTTATTTTGGTCACCCATATCTTAGAAAATCCGTTCAAAATAAGGGAGAAGGATGCTGAAACTGTTAGCCTGAAGCTCCACCCGCACAAACAAGTCTCGATTTATGAGCTTGACGCTTAACTAAAAGGAGTTCAACAGACAGTGAGCTTGAGGTCTGAGGAAAAGGCTCCTGTGCTCAGGCACTTTATATACCCAGCTGATTCATTTTGACACTTGTGATCTAAGGGTCGAGAATGAGCTGTGGTGTTACTCCCTGGTTGCCCCGGGACCTGGAGAGGATCATGCTAATTATTTGTATTTATATCTCTGGAGAGTCTGTGGCAAGTTGTTGGTGAGTGACTCTGAGGGCAACAAGCAGATGGATTATACAGCACTGGCCTTTGCAGTCTTGTCACATACTGGTGCCCTTTGTCCAGAGAAATCACAGCCTTGTGTTGTGTGAGGGAACAGCCAGGACATTCAGTAACGCAGTAAACAACACAGCTTGTCTCTAAAGGAAAGGTTGAATGAAAACACTCAAGACTAAATAACATGGTCATGTGTCGGTAGAGGAATTTATAATGCTTAAGTCCTGTTTGATAAAAAAATAAAAAAAAATAAAAAGAGGAACTGGATGAGTGATGCCGTTGAGTGATTGTGAGGAATGTTGCATCTAGAGCTACGACCTCATGTGCTATGTTGAACAAATAATGACCCCAGCCTTCGAGACATAAATCCAACTACTCCCCATCAAAGAGAAATGTTTTTTATTAATGTGACATTCCATTAGTGTTCATCCAGAGCATTAGCCAAATATATTAGCAGGAAAAATATTGAGCACAGCATGGTAGAAATACAAAGATGCATGATGCTCAGCACCACCATCTTATCTTAGCAGGTTCATTCCAGTAAAGGCTACATATTGTGGGTAAACCCAGAATGTGAGCTTGTAGATCAACAGTCAACAAGATTTGAAAAATAAGTTAGGCAATGGAAATGGAAACTGAGTGGAAAGTTAAAGGTAAACAAGTCAGAAATTCCCGCACGTTAGATGTTGAAAATGATATATATGATAATTCGGATAAAGGATATAATCTTTACACCAATACTTTGGAAAACCTCTTTAACACCTAAATCTCAAACAGCAGCCTGGAATTGTGTTTCTTCTTCATAATTTGGCTGTAAGTGTCATAAGATGTGCCATTAGTTAGTGCTTTGGCTCCCTTTTCCTTCATTACTTCAGTTTTCATTATATTGAAGTTATTTGGCATTACTGTATGATGTGAGCGGCAGAGTTTAAATGAAAAATCTATTCACACAATTTTTGATCAATTCACACATTTGGAAACAGCTTTGCAACAGTTAAAGCTCCAATTCTTTAGGTTAAAGGTCACATATTTTGCAAAATACACTTTAACATGATTTTCTAACACTAATGTGTGTCCCTAGCTTGAGTCAATTTTCTCTGTCTTTTTTTAGCATGCTCCACTTTCCAGAAAATGTTTCCCCAAAAGGCTGTTTGGAGATTTTGCCTTCATGACATCACAAAGGCCAGTAACCCCTCCCCCCGGGTTTGTTACACTCCCACAGCTAGGTGTTTGTTCTGCCCTCTGACTCTGCCTTCTCAATGTTAACATTGGGTGTAATGCAAGAAAGCCTAAGCCACATCCCCTTCCAGAGGGGCGTGGTCAGACACAGTTAATTTGCATTTAAAGCTACAGACACAGAAACAGCCTGTTCTGAGCAGGGCTGAAATAGAGGGGTTTGTAGGCATGACCAAATACAGGATCAGAGGACCTTTTAGCAAGAAATTTAACATACATTTGAGAGCTGTGTAAACTGTTTGAAAATAAATATAATATGTGACCTTTAAGGAAAATAATGTGTGTAACAGTCATTAAGTGTTGCAATGTTAGTTAAGCGGTTAAGCTTACTAAGCTTTATGTATTAGGGTCATGTGTTGAAACCATTGATGTCTGTTCTTGTGTTTTCTTGCATATCATTTTAAAAAGAGTAGCATTTTAAACATGAAAAACATTATGATTGGATTACAGGTATGTATATCTTATGTCAAAGGTTTTTGATTGAACTAAACTGATACATAATGGGACAACAGTTCTCCTAGTAAAACATTGAGGCAAAGAGCTGGTCACAAAGTGTGTAACAACCATGTGCTGCTGTATGTGTTTACTTTTGCACAGCAGAGAAGAAACTCATTGAGATATGTATATTTTATAAAATGTGTTATTCTGTGTGTAGATGGAGAACAGTCAAACCAGAGAATTACCTGGAAATAAAGCTGCAATTATGCTGTATTTGAAAAAACTTTAATGACAAAAATTGCAACAATAGAGCAACATTTACCAGTTTCTGATGACAAGATGCAGACATAACACAGTGCAGAGTTCAGTTTATATCACTTTAATGTTTCAAATATTTCACATGAAAAGCTGAGTTTTCCTTCAATACATTTGTTTGACATGAATAATAGTGGAGTGTTAAGCAGCAACAAGGTGGCATCATTGAGGATTCACCTGTTTACAGGACGTAAGTCTGTTAGTGTTAGCTAACTGAAAGGACTGTATGTTTGTGATTCCGGCCTGGTGGGTGTGATCCCATGTGACTTCGGTTAACTTTATAAACATCAGTGCAACAAAACTTTTCTGCCATGTAAGAGATAATGGAGTTACTTCTGAACTGTGTAGGAACTCATATTTTTACTCATATTGTGTGTTGGATAACCTGCTGCTGTAGTTTACTCATATTGTGTGTTGGATAACCTCCTACTGTAACGCCACAATTTCCCAGTTTGGAATCAATAAAGTAATTCTATTCTATTCTATTCTATTCTATTCTAACCTTTGTAAACATCTCTTTCGTATCATTTTGTCTTTGCCTATAAGCATGCCTTGATTTTTAAGTTTTTCTTTTTTTTTATTAATTTGAAAAGCAAAAATAAGTGCTCATCATAAGACAATCTTTTCATTTATTTAGTAGGTGAAGTCAAAATATAAATAAAGCTAGGGATTCATTTAGAATTCAGTTTTCGCAGCTTCCACAGACCTTTTCGTTTTTCTGAAAAACAAAAAAAATAAATCAGGAGGACTAAAACTTAACTTTGATACATTTTGCAGGAAATATACTACATAACATCTGTCCATTTTATTTTTCCAAATTATGGAATAAAAAAAAAAAACATAAGCTTAAACACTGACCTTTTCTGTTTTTTGGTGTAGAGTACCACTGTTACTATGATGGCAATCAGTGCAAGAGCTCCAATGACTGAACCTGCTACAATTCCTGCAATGTTACCTGAAAAATAACACAGATGTTTTGCTTTTAACACAAAGCAGATGGTGCAGAGACATTTTGGTTTCATTTTTTTGTTCTTTCTTAGTCCACTGCATATATTCAGACAGGGAGAGACAAATAACAAAGGTCCCCCTTTAGGGTTAGCACACACAAAATTGTGATTCAAGAGGAAAATTGTCACACAATTTCACGCAATTTCATTTTTACTGTTCCAATTATTGACACACATTGGGTAAATCCTACTATTGAATTTATTTCATCTTTTTTTGTTGCTGTATTTGCTTATTTCCTTTGTATTGCTTAACTATTATTTTATCTTTTTGTCTTTTTTCTCTTCGTTCTAGAGCACAACAAAGGGGGAAACAATTTTGGAATTTAGATTCAATTTTCCAATGACAAAAGAAAGCTTTGTCGCCTCTGAACATTAGTATTATTGTTTGCTGCCAGCAAATCAGTCTTATCACTTATTGAACCTCCTGAGGCTAATATTTTTGGAATGAAATTGAGACAGCTATGGTCAGTACTCTTGAAATATGTCAAAGATGTTCATTATCCCCAGAGGATACATTTTAAATGATTTTAATCCCTTAATTAATTGAGCTGTATTTCCCATTCAGCTTTGTTTGTGAATTGGTAAATGCTGTGACTGTACACAGATGAAGAGATGAAGTGTAAACCTCCAAGCTGTTTGATGGTATGATTGGTCACTGAAGAATTTTGATTCCCCCCAATGGGGCACAAGATGAGAGCTGTTAAATCTAAATAAACTATGGAAATGCTCAATGCTTAATCTCGGCATAAAAACAGGAAGTCAGTGGCATTAAAAATCCTAAAAAGGATTTGAATTCATTTCACTTTTCTACTATAAGACAGCTGTTTTGTAAGAGGCTTGTATCTGTAGGGCTGGGGAAGTGGACTCATTGCTCACCTGTTTCTTAGTTTAAATGCACATCTGTATACAGTAGCACAGACCATCAATGTCTGCACAAATGTGCAGAAAGAGTGGACGGACGTACAAATGCCAAGAGCATGATGTGAAAAGCTTCGCGCCATCCTGACATTACTAACTAACATTTTCACAATATGTCATCAAGTTAGAAATTCATTGTAAGAAAGTATTTTCTCTCGTACTTTCCATAGGACCTAAAGGACAACATTTAGGAAAGTGTTCTTTCTCTTGATTGAATTTCCAATTTCATGAAAATTCAAATGCAAACATGAATTTAAAATGTACATTTAAGTGAAAAAAGAGAGTGCTTTGATTTCTGTGCACTGTAACAGCTGATTTGATTGATCAAAGGATGCATTCAAAGACAAACAAACACACACAACCACACACACCTGCTCAAATACAAACACTCAACATTTGCCACTGCTGATTCGTAAAGATCAGAATCGTTGAACAAAGAAGTATTTCATTGTTTATTCATACTGGGAATCACGCAGCTTGTCTCTGCTCCAGACCATAAGCCGCTCCCCAGGCACACGCGCTCTGCGGATCCTTTGAGAGTGTAGCCGTCATCGCAGGAAAACTGCACCTTCGCTCCTTGTAAGTATGTGGTCCCCTCCTTCTTACCATTATCTGGTGGCCTCAGCCATCCACAGGAAACAACTGCATGGGAAACAAACATTAAAATTGTGAACCCAATGAAAATATTACACATGACTGCTGCAGATACTTTTTTTTATAGACTCACCTTGCTTTAGATCCTGAGCTAGAGAAATGTAACTTTGGAAAGATACTCTGGTAGCATTTCCCATGCTTGCACTACGGCCAACCAGGATATCGTACCTTAAAACCAGATCATAAAAATAAGCAAATTCAGCAGAATCAGTTATATACCATACAATGTGAATAATTTGCATTCAAAGAAGATTTTAAATAAAGGGTCAACATTACATTACAACATTTCATTTTTAAATTAAATTGAAGCCCAGTTTCAACACAGGCTCCAACAGAAAGAAAATATTCAAATGTATTCCAAGGGAAAAACAGTACTACTAATGATAAATAAACTAAATTAAATGTATGACTGACTGTTTTAAACTGACATGTTTCATAAATTATTATTATTAAGTTTAAAAGTAGACACAAGTTGTTCTTGTCATACCTGCAGAACTGTGAGCCCTCTCCAGAGCAGATCTCTGATGCCTGATTGGCTAAAGGATCATCTGGATTCTCAGGGACAGAAAACACTGGAAGAAAACTCAGGTCATGTCTAGGACCAGAGCGGTATTGTTCCAAAAGATATTCAGAGTCATAAGTGAACAAAGCAGACCTGTTGAAGACAGCCCCTGTAAGATAAAACAAGAAAGAAACACAGCTATCAGCTCAAACCATTGTCTCCAAGAAGTATGTTTATCCCCCCACGGAAGAGTAACATGAAGGGGATATGCCCCAAAACAGATAGAAGTATGTCAATGAAATGATGCCCCCACCCCCTTTTTATTTTCTTGACTACATTTTACATTGACTGCAAAAACTCTTTTGGAATTGATGTATGGAATACAGATTTGAAACACAAAAAAAAAACATGACATCTTTTATGTAGCAAGCACATTCTTTCTACATTACGACTTCCAGCTTCAGAACACACTGCAGTTAGAAGCATGGCTTCTCAACTCAAGTAATAAGACCATTCTGCAAGTTAGTAAAACATTTACAATAGTTGTTTACCTTAATTCAATAATAACTTATTCTTCAAGCTCACTGAAAAAACATGTATTTGTTGTTTTTGATATGAGTGTTTTGCTGAAAGAATTAATTTCTGTTAAACTGTAGTTTCAGTACACAACTGTTGTATACATTGCCAAACTTGATGCCTATTTCACTACATTAACTGAAGGTATTGCTTGTTTGGTAAATAATACAGCTCCTATAATTAGTAAGGTACCTCACAGGAGGTTCACCACAGACACAAACACAACAGTATTCTACTTTATGAACTCTATCTTACAGCTTGCTCCGAAGCTGAACAGCTCCTCAGGATTGCTGTGGTTCCGCACAAGCTGCCCGTTGCTGAGTGCGAGGTCATCCTTAGGGTCGTTGTTCATCCGTCCCAACAATCCTACAGTGGAGTTTCTGAACTCCTCGGGCAGGAGCACGGTGGTGGTCATGGTTCCCTCTCTCAGTCGCACTTCCACCCCAGCTCCAGAGGAAAACATCACAGTCACATTTGTCGAGGCGGGGGAAAAGACAAACACACCTAAAAAGAGATATTAGAACAAAATAAGTTCTGGTATTTTTATCAAGATGACAGCTAACTTTGAGAATTGTTTTCATTCTTAATCAGCTTCATTAAGTTTTGTTTCGGCCACCCAACAGGAGATTTGTTAAAAATAGTCAAATACTTAATTAGAAAAAATCATTAGACACCTGGAATACATTATTAATTGCGATTACATTCATTGAGATTCATACAACAGAAAATTTTGTTTTTTATATTTTATGGTTTTTAGTTTTAACAGGAACGCTGACTCTGTAATAATAACCCGCCAAATTATCAATGCACCTAACAAAGTGACATCTCTTTCTTGAACTAAATACAAGATTAACCACCGTCCCTTTTGAATAATTTCTGTACGGTTCCTTATTGTTATGAGGGTTAGGAAAAACATGTATGCCTTTAGGGCAGTACAGTCACACTGCTCTCACAAATCACTCAGATATCTGGTTATCCGGTCATAACTGTCATTCAACTGATATAACATATCATATCCTGAAAGTGTTTTTCACTTCCTTACATCTCTTGGGTGAGTCAAGTGACAAAGTCACAAATCTTCATTCTAATGGCATAACTGTTAGATGGGTGAAGTAGAAGGAAAACGATTTTCTACATTTTTATTTAAAGCAGTGAGTAGAATCACGGTCTCACCATGCAGGTCCATCCAGCTCTGCTCAGTAAACGGGAGGGTTTTCTGATTCTGCAACACTTCCAGGCCTTTGTGACCCGCGACCAGCCGCACCTCAATCACATCAGAGTCTGCTTCTCGCATGGCCACAGATGTCAACTTTGTTGCTTTTATAAAGGTTCCTGACAGTGAGAGAAGCAGACCAGTGTCATGGGAAACAGCCAGTTTAGCAGGTTAGCAGTGTGTATGACAAGAATAAAATTGTCGTATGTATTTTTATTGTTGGTCAGGGGCGTGTCCAGTCTTTATGACTAAGGTGTCCCAAATTGGCGGGGTTTGTTTGCACAAACTCATTTTATTTTAAACCATTTTCTGCCTCAAATAATCACATCAATGTTTCTATTATTCAAAATATAACATCAAAAAAACATTCATGCTCAATTCTTAAAAAACTCAAAAAGGTTTATCTCCTAAAGTAAAAGCATCAGCAAAAGAAACATTTCTTTATCAAAAAGCCACAAAAATTAGCTGCCTGTTGCAACACAAGCAAATAAGTCCTGCCTTATAGCGGAGATAGCATTGGTGGCAAACAATATTTCAGATTTCCTTGCCACCCCAGACGACCTGTGGACACACCCTTTATGGTAGAACAAACAACAAATTCTTCAAGTACAGTAACTCACCATTCACTGGCTCCGTTCTGCCTTGGATTGTCAGATGTTTCTTCTCTGAGGACACCAAAGTGTACTCCCCTTTGCCGTTGAAGGAGTAGTTGACACCGTTGAATGTTATGAAGTGGGGATCTCCAAACACCACAGCTGGTATTAAAACACAAAAGGTAGGACATGACACAAATTCTAATCATTTAAAAACATAAACCTTGAATTAGTGAATTCCTTACCTGACTTGGGCGCCCTGTAGCGCCTGCAGTCACTGGACGGCCGGTGTTTGAAGTAGTAGTTGCAGTTGTCGGACCAGAGGCAGCAGTAGTAGAAGCTGAGCACATCGTACACCCAGTGGGACTGACCAGGAACTCGAGGTGGCTTCTTGAATGGAGGAGATCCCCAGTCGTGTGCTCGGTCTGGAGTGCTGCCCCCAATCGAGTCTGATGTGAGGACCTGAGCGCCAGTGCTGTCATAGCAGCACTGCTGTCCTGCTGCGTATGTGAGGCTGTTAATAAATAAATAAAAACACTGGCAATTAGCTTGAACACTTCTACAGCCAACAGAAGTTTTTCAATAATAGTAATGCATGTTTTAGCTGGTTAGGAAACAGAAGCACATTTACAATGATGCCTCTTTATGACATACAAAAGCAAACAACACCATCATTAATAAGCTTCATAATTCTTTTACTTTTAAGTCTGTAAACAATGCCGCAGGGTATGTGTCGGACGAGTGCATTGTCTGTACACTGAAGGATAAGCATTTAAAAACACATATTCCTATCACAATCATTGATACGATAGACTGTTAAAAGAGAGCAGGCTGATATTTTTACACACACATATACAGGTCAAAAGCAAGCAAACAGCAAACATATTACTTTGTCCACAGGGGGCACCAAATGTGACCCAAACCAGAAGTTCCTCACAGGAGCTTGAATTCAAAAATTTTATACATTTCAATCACATGTGTTACCTATATCTTTTTATATTTTAGTTGCACAGATGTGGGTTTCCAGTTGCCACAATTACAAGAGCATTCACTTTAAGAGGTGATGCAGTTTTATGGAGGCATATCAATCAAATGAATGAGATAATGACATCGAGGGTAACGTGTCCTGAAGCAGAAGTTATCTCATTTAAAGTTACTATCAGGTTTCTATGATGAAAATAAAACAATATAGATTCATGTCTTCTCATTACATCACAGACTTGTAAGCTGCAATATCATGCACATATCTTGAGACAACTTGAAAACATATATCAATTAAAAAAATGTGATTACCACAATGATGTCATAGTAAGTGAGTTTTTACAGAGTTTAACCCTTTAATGTACCAATATTAAAGTGAGAACAAAAGGGGTAAAGGTTGTCAAGCTGACACATTGTTCTTATCGTGGGAGTAAAACAGATGTTACTGCTGTATCTCCGGAGGGTTTGGCTACTACTTATTGTCAGGGTGAGGTAGTGGCGGGCCCATCTTTACGATGTAGATAAAAGTACAGTAGGGAATAGATATGCCAAAAGATGGACAAATTATATTTGTCTCAATTGGTATTTTCCATTAACAATATAAAAAATTTATATATTGAACCTTTTCAGAAAAACAGTCAGTATCTATCCTATTATATCTCACAGTTATGGGGCTCGATACTCCTCCTAAGACAGTTAAAAATTATATATTACACAAAGTTTTTGGACTAATGCAAACTTTTAAGTGCAAACCTTTTTTTGCTAATTCTACAACAGTAAGAAAAGCACAATGAAGAACAGCAGCTGGTACATGTAAAATAAAAAAGCTGAAAAAAACAACAACATTACCTGTCCTAATATGTTTGACAAATACTATGAACGCTATGAAAAATGCATTTGTTAAAATGTGATTATGACACTTTCACCCAACCCTGAGGTCAAAGAGGACAAGACTCACCTGGCTTGTATGGCTCTCACACAATGAACGCTGCCAGGATGGTAGGTGCACACACTCCCTTTCTCTATATCACAGCCGTAATCAGTCTGCATAGAGAGACACAGTGTGTGAGCAGGCAGCTAAACAGGCGTTTCACAATGGTTGTTTATAATCCAGGTGCTGGTTTTATTGGAATACTACAAGCTGTTGTAAACTAGATAATTATAACTTTTACAGCTGTGTTATCAACACTTACATGAAACCTCCCTGTGTCGGCTCTGGCTTGAGCCAGAGTGCAGGGGCAGTCGATGATGTCATCGAGGAAGTTAGGCAGCTGATTTTCCAGTTTATCCCATGCTAAACATTTGTCTAAAGCCCAAATTGTGGAGTTCTGCCTGAACTTCTCCTCCAGATGCCAGGCCAGAGCGTGATCCTCGGTCCATGCAGCCTGTACATTCCTATAACAAAAACAATTTAACTGTTATTTTGTGTGTTCAGTAATTGTGTACTTTCTACTACAATTTCTAATATAAATTATCTTTTTTTTAAACAAACAAAAAAATTATCTTTAAAGGATATCTGATCAGTGTGAATCCTTTATCGATTAGCAAGAATAATCATTTGTATTACAAATCTCTATAATGTTGCTAGTGTTGGTACATACCACATGCCATCCTTGTAGCAGCTGGGGCTGACACGTACAGAACCTAGCTCCCAACTTGAAAAGCCATTTTCTGCTGGTTTGGGCAGAAAGCTAAAGGAGCCGTTGTTGGTGTGATTCCTAGCAAGTGAGTACAGATATGCCCACTCACTCTGCCAGGTGTCTGTATAAGCTTTTCCTATAATAAAAAAAACAAACATTTTACACATTATACACAAAGAGGGACAACTAGTCTCCACCACCTTCCATCGTACAAAAGTGAAGCCAAAATTCCCTTTACGATGGGTGAAACAAGGTTTGAGAACATTTTCATTAATGTGTATTTTAATTTGATAATTTGACCCATGTCCCATCTGTTAACATGGAGGAGGAGGGACTTATGACCTATACTGTAGCCAATCAGGAGGGGAAGCTTGAAAGGTTTTGGGTTCACTTGTGGGGAGATGTCATGTCATCTCTGGGTACTCACCTGTCTCTCTGTACCCCCACAGCTCTATGTTCACCCTCTCGGCTCTGACCAACGAGGTATTCCACGTCATCTCCAGAACACCTCCAACATCAGGAGTACCATAGTACTGCCATTTTGTAGAGTTGACCAGAATCGCCTTAAACTTAGCATCTAACTTCCCAGTATGAACTGTAGCAACATAAAAATATCAAATCAATCAATCTTTCACCTCATTTCAAAACCAAATACAGAAAAGCTACGTTAAAAGGACTATAGAATTTATCGTACCTGAGAGCCAGGATCCGTCTCTGCTGAATGTGGTGCCGTTATCAGAGGAGACTTGAAAAGGAACCCATCCAGTCTCGAATAACAATGGGGAGATACAATGGCCTCTACCACTTTCATCCACATAACCCACAGTGTCTGTATTACTGTTGAACCTGCCAATATAAACAGTAGTTAGCAAGTGTTTGTACTTCAACTGTATTTTGTTACTGCTATATTTTCTACTGAAGGTTTTTTTCTCTTTTCTTTAACTGCATGTCATTATTGTCTTAGATGCACTTCTGAGTGGCGTGTCAGCAGGTCCGAGGAAGATCAAGGAAACCAAAGATGTAAGGCAAGGTAAGGTATTACTAGAACAGGTTAAAGAAAATGTCAATACTGCTAAAAAAAAATACAATTCTTACCTGCACACAATGTGGGAAGTCTTATTGAAACTTGCTTCCAGTAGCATAAAATCAGTCCCACCCAGAATGGACCCAGAGTATGGAAGGATATCCACACAGTACTCTTTATAGTCGGTACAGCAGGTTCCCAGAGACGTGCATGTTGAGGAACATGAGCATTCGGGAAATGTTTCCCCACATCCAATTTCACATGACAGTCCTGTTAAAAAAAAAAACAATGTTGAGGCTACTCCTCTATTCTATATCAAGGAGTATCCAATGTTTACACAGAAATAGTGTTGATTTACTCATGGAGTAAGAAAGCAAACACAACCTAAATTGAAAATTTTTTTTCAGTTTAGAAGTCTGTGTAAACTTACCTGATGTCCTGCAGATAAATAAAACCAGAGCGACAAATAAGACTGTGGTCAATCTTTCCATCTTGACAGGTTTTTCTCTGGACCTGTCTTAAGATTTTCTCCCAGTTATATATTCTCAGCATTTAAACTTTGGCCCTTCAACCACTGCAGAACCTCTGTTTAATCATCAACCAGAAGTCAATATGATGACATTTCAGGTTGTTACATTTGGACAGTTATGATGTGATTAATGGATTTACCTTCTTACTCATATCTTAGATAAGATAAAAGAAAAGATGGGGTAATACAGTAGTTGGATTAAACATGCATTACTGTAATGAGAATAAAATAATAAACAGTATATTGTACCCACATACACATATATCTACACATGTATTATCAATGTGTATCGCAGCAGTGACCTAAGACCAAAACAGCATAATGTTAGAGCTAGGTTACAAGTAAGCTTGACAAATGTCTACATTATCCAACAGTAGCATATCCAAATAAAACCCAGACATTTTGTATTATAAGTCTCCTTAATAAAAGAACAATTAAGTAAAACTATTTCTTGTACACTGAAGAAAGAATCATGTTAAAGACATGTGCCCACAGTTTACACAACACTTCCCTCAGCCGTTCCTTCAGTCAACAATAACCAAAGCATCTGGCTATGCAACAATGATGAGGTTAAATTCTCAACTGGAAAAATGGCTAAATTGTTGTCTCAAACAACAAAGAGCACACAAAAATTAAAACTACTCAACTCACCAAAACACAACAACACAACTAAACACAACTTGATGTCTGCTTTGCTTGAAATGAGAATGTTCAAATCAAATACATTTCTTTAGAAGAATTACTTCAGGATAAAACTCTGGATTAAAGCAACAATTTAGTTCATTAAGAAAGTCGCCCTGGCTGCATCATTATATTCAACAACATACGATACAAACTAAGCCACAGCTTGCTGTCTGCTTTGAATAAACAACAAGCAAGAAAAATAATCTTCAAAAGAAAAGATAAGTTTTCCTCAAGAAAAATCTCTTTTAGGTTTAAAAATTCGGATTACTGTGCATTTACAGTGCAATGAAGCTGGTTTTATTCAAGGCCTCACACGGGACACCATTTGTTGGGGTTGTATCAAGTCAACTTGATTATATTCTTTAATAATTATATTTAATAATTAATAATATAAATAACAATATCATTAAACTATGTTTAATCTCTCTTGGGGCACCACCCTGTAATCAGGGAACTATAATCAAAATATCACTCAAATCAGTCTCAAATTAGTTATTTAATTACCAATATTATTAATAATTAATAGTAATAACAGAATTTATTTAAACAAAGCAACATCAATCCAAAATCAATGAACCATCAAACAAAAAACTGTTCTAAACTAATCTAAGCAAACAAACTTTATCAAGCAAGGCTTGTGGAAGAGGTGTAACAGTGTAGTTTGTGTGTGTGTGTGTGTGTGTGTGTGTGTTTGTGCCTGCGTGCGTGCGTGCGTGCATGCGTGCGTGCGTGTGTGTGTGTGGTCGCTCTTCCGATGGCGCACACCTAACAAAGACCTGGCGTGGTCTATTGTCTAAAGGAGGCTAAGTTCGGCCCTGCACGATCTGTGTCTCTGAGGCGTTTGAATGGCCGTGAGTGTACAGATCTCTATGTGTGTGTGCAGCCTATATGTGTGTGTGTGTGTGTGTGTGTGTGTGTGTGTGTGTGTGTGTGTGTGTGTGTGTGTGTGTGTGTGTGTGTGTGTTTGTGTGTGTGTGTGTGTGTGTGTGTGCCGAAACGGCAACAACAAGAGTTTCAAACAGGTAAAACTCAGGACGCGGCAGTCCTACAAAGAGAAAAATTACAGTTTTCGTATCAAATCAATCAATTGTTAAAAACACTCTCTAAAGCTAATTCTGCCCAGACCTAATTAAGCCTCACTTGTGAATCGCTTTGCCTGCGATTGGTGAAAGGGAAAAAGGAGTCCGGCGATAAAACAGATCTTTTGTCCGTCCTGGTGCAGAGACGTTTGATGGTGGCGAGGCTCCCTTACGGCAAGAGCAGCTTCGATATGTTCTCAGTCGAGTAGAAAGATGTCCATTGATGTCTTTTCGTTGCAGGACGGAATAAGACCGTTATCTTCCTGATAACCTGTAATAGTCTGACGCTCTCCGAGAAACTGAGATGCATTCACTGGACAATCCGAGCTCGGAATTCAGAACACTGCCGGCCGCGGATTACCTGTGCGCCAAAATTTAAAAGGAAGGAAGATTGTTGCAGAAAACAGGAGGTGAGCTTGTGTCTCCAAACACTTGAAGTCAGCGCGTGGAAAGAGAAAGAACAATGGAAGCCTTGGAGTTTTGTAACCTGGCCTGCTTCATGGAGGGTCTACCTCATGTCCCATCCAATGAGAAGAGAGAGGTTCCGGTCCCCCCCAGTATTGCAGGGGATTCTGGGATTAAGAGTTTCTTTAGGTCTCTTTGTGATCTGAGTGAATAACTCAAATGAGGCTTCTCACAGAGATGCAGGCCCAAGTTCATTGTTTGCCTGTCTTAAGCCTGTGAGCCCAACAAGCTCCAGCGACTGAACCGGCTACAATTCCTGCAATGTTACCTGAAAAATAACACAGAGGTTTTGCTTTTAACACAAAGCAGATGGTGCAGAGACATTTTGGTTTAATTTTTTTGTTCTTTCCTAGTCCACTTTCCCAGCCACACATCTTTGCAGATAGGCTGAAGACCATCCACAACATTGACAGTGGTCTTATATGCTGGCTGATGGAATTTTTAACAAGAAGGTGTTTGAATGTGTTAGAGCAAATGGCATCCTATCAGATGTTCTTTATTCCTCTACTGGATCACCCCAGGGATGTGTCCTTTCTCCCCTTTTACTTGTACTATACACAAATGAGTGTCAAAGCAGACATGAGAACCGGCACATCATCAAGTTTGCAGATGACTCGGTGATCGTTTCCCTCCTGAGCACTGATGACCCAGATCACAGCCCTGTCATGAGTGAATTCACAGACTGGTGCAGGTCATCCTTCCTGGACATTAATGTCCTAAAGACTAAAGAAATGACAGTAGATTTCAGGAAAAATCCCTCTGTCATTTCCCTTGTTTTTATTAACAACCAGACTGTTGAGGTGGTGCACCAATACAAGTACCTGGGAACTATCATCGATGGCAAACTCACCTTCGAGCTTCAAACTGAAGCTGTCTGCAAAAAAGCTCATCAGCGTGTGCACTTTCTGAGGAAGCTTAGGAATTTTAATGTTGACAGCACTTTTATGAAGATGTTTTATTGAATCAGTTTTGACATTCTGCATGGTGTCCTGGTACGGATCACTCAGCATCAAAAACCGCAAAAAAATGCAGAGCATTGTTAAACTGTGTGTCAGAATCACAGGATCGTCCCTTTCTGACGTTTCTTATTTATATAAAACAAAGTGTCTCAAGAAAGGACAGTCAATCTTGACAAATCAAAGTCATCCTTTGTCCAAGGACTTTAAGTTGCTGCCGTCAGGCTGCAGATTCAGCCTGCCAGCATGCAGGACAAAGAGGTTGAGAAACTCATTGGTTCCTTCTGCCATCACCTTTTTAAACCACTAACTGTGTTGCCTCTGTTTCTTATCTATTGTATTTATTTACTGTCCTTTCAATGTTGTTTGCTCATTTCGGGCTGTATGTATGTGTGTGTTTTACTGCTCACTGCAAAACAAATTGCCCTCTCGCAGGGATGATAAAGACAACCTTGAACCTTGAACCTTGAATCACTGCATATATTCAGACAGGGAGAGACAAATAACAAAGGTCCCCCTTTAGGGGTAGCACACACAAAATTGTGATTCAAGAGGAAAATTGTCACACAATTTCATGCAATTTCATTTTTACTGTTCCAATTATTGACACACATTGGGTAAATCCTACTATTGAATTTATTTCATCTTTTTTTGTTGCTGTATTTGCTTATTTCCTTTCTATTGCTTAACTATTATTTTATCTTTTTGTCTTTTTTCTCTTCGTTCTAGAGCACAACAAAGGGGGAAACAATTTTGGAATTTAGATTCAATTTTCCAATGACAAAAGAAAGCTTTGTCGCCTCTGAACATTAGTATTATTGTTTGCTGCCAGCAAATCAGTCTTATCACTTATTGAACCTCCTGAGGCTAATATTTTTGGAATGAAATTGAGACAGCTGTGGTCAGTACTCTTGAAATATGTCAAAGACGTTCATTATCCCCAGAGGATACATTTTAAATGATTTTAAAATCATTGATCCCTTAATTAATTGAGCTGTATTTCCCATTCAGCTTTGTTTGTGAATTGGTAAATGCTGTGACTGTACACAGATGAAGAGATGAAGTGTAAACCTCCAAGCTGTTTGATGGTATGATTGGTCACTGAAGAATTTTGATTCCCCCCAATGGGGCACAAGATGAGTGCTGTTAAATCTAAATAAACTATGGAAATGCTCAATGCTTAATCTCGGCATAAAAACAGGAAGTCAGTGGCATTAAAAATCCTAAAAAGGATTTGAATTCATTTCACTTTTCTACTATAAGACAGCTATTTTGTAAGAGGCTTGTATCTGTAGGGCTGGGGAAGTGGACTCATTGCTCACCTGTTTCTTATTTTAAATGCACATCTGTATACAGTAGCACAGACCATCAATGTCTGCACAAATGTGCAGAAAGAGTGGACGGACGTACAAATGCCAAGAGCATGATGTGAAAAGCTTCGCGCCATCCTGACATTACTAACTAACATTTTCACAATATGTCATAAAGGTAGAAATTCATTGTAAGAAAGTATTTTCTCTCGTACTTTCCATTGGACCTAAAGGACAACATTTACACAAGGAAAGTGTTCTTTCTCTTGATTGAATTTCCAATTTCATGAAAATTCAAATGCAAACATGAATTTAAAATGTACATTTAAGTGAAAAAAGAGAGTGCTTTGATTTCTGTGCACTGTAACAGCTGATTTGATTGATCAAAGGATGCATTCAAAGACAAACAAACACACACAACCACACACACCTGCTCGAATACAAACACTCAACATTTGCCACTGCTGATTCGTAAAGATCAGAATCGTTGAACAAAGAAGTATTTCATTTTTTATTCATACTGGGAATCACGCAGCTTGTCTCTGCTCCAGACCATAAGCCGCTCCCCAGGCACACGCGCTCTGCGGATCCTTTGAGAGTGTAGCCGTCATCGCAGGAAAACTGCACCTTCGCTCCTTGTAAGTATGTAGTCCCCTCCTTCTTACCATTATCTGGTGACCTCAGCCATCCACAGGAAACAACTGCATGGGAAAACAAACATTAACATTGTGAACCCAATGAAAATATTACACATGACTGCTGCAGATACTTTTTTTTATAGACTCACCTTGCTTTAGATCCTGAACTAGAGAAATGTAACTTTGGAAAGATACTCTGGTAGCATTTCCCATGCTTGCACTACGGCCAACCAGGATATCGTACCTTAAAACCAGATAAAAAAAATAAGCAAATTCAGCAGAATCAGTAATTACCATACAATGTGAATAATTTGCATTCAAAGAAGATTTTAAATAAAGGGTCAACATTACATTACAACATTTCATTTTTAAATTAAATTGAAGCCCAGTTTCAACACAGGCTCCAACAGAAAGAAAATATTCAAATGTATTCCAAGGGAAAAACAGTACTACTAATGATAAATAAACTAAATTAAATGTATGACTGACTGTTTTAAACTGACATGTTTCATAAATTATTATTATTAAGTTTAAAAGTAGACACAAGTTGTTCTTGTCATACCTGCAGAACTGTGAGCCCTCTCCAGAGCAGATCTCTGATGCCTGATTGGCTAAAGGATCATCTGGATTCTCAGGGACAGAAAACACTGGAAGAAAACTCAGGTCATGTCTAGGACCAGAGCGGTATTGTTCCAAAAGATATTCAGAGTCATAAGTGAACAAAGCAGACCTGTTGAAGACAGCCCCTGTAAGATAAAACAAGAAAGAAACACAGCTATCAGCTCAAACCATTGTCTCCAAGAAGTATGTTTATCCCCCACGGAAGAGTAACATGAAGGGGATATGCCCCAAAACAGATAGAAGTATGTCAATGAAATGATGCCCCCACCCCCTTTTTATTTTCTTGACTACATTTTACATTGACTGCAAAAACTCTTTTGGAATTGATGTATGGAATACAGATTTGAAACACAAAAAAAAAACATGACATCTTTTATGTAGCAAGCACATTCTTTCTACATTACGACTTCCAGCTTCAGAACACACTGCAGTTAGAAGCATGGCTTCTCAACTCAAGTAATAAGACCATTCTGCAAGTTAGTAAAACATTTACAATAGTTGTTTACCTTAATTCAATAATAACTTATTCTTCAAGCTCACTGAAAAAACATGTATTTGTTGTTTTTGATATGAGTGTTTTGCTGAAAGAATTAATTTCTGTTAAACTGTAGTTTCAGTACACAACTGTTGTATACATTGCCAAACTTGATGCCTATTTCACTACATTAACTGAAGGTATTGCTTGTTTGGTAAATAATACAGCTCCTATAATTAGTAAGGTACCTCACAGGAGGTTCACCACAGACACAAACACAACAGTATTCTACTTTATGAACTCTATCTTACAGCTTGCTCCGAAGCTGAACAGCTCCTCAGGATTGCTGTGGTTCCGCACAAGCTGCCCGTTGCTGAGTGCGAGGTCATCCTTAGGGTCGTTGTTCATCCGTCCCAACAATCCTACAGTGGAGTTTCTGAACTCCTCGGGCAGGAGCACGGTGGTGGTCATGGTTCCCTCTCTCAGTCGCACTTCCACCCCAGCTCCAGAGGAAAACATCACAGTCACATTTGTCGAGGCGGGGGAAAAGACAAACACACCTAAAAAGAGATATTAGAACAAAATAAGTTCTGGTATTTTTATCAAGATGACAGCTTACACTAAGAATTTCTTTTGTTCTTAATCAGCTTCATTAAATTTTGTTTCGGCCACCCAACAGGAGATTTAAAAAAAATAGTCAAACAGACACCTGGGAATACATTATTAATTGTGATTACATTAATTGAGATTCATACAACAGAAAATTTTTAGTCTTAACAGGAACGCTGACTCTGTAATAATAACCCGCCAAATTATCAATGCACCTAACAAAGTGACATCTTTTTCTTGAACTAAATACAAGATTCACCACTGTCCCTTTTGAATCATTTCTGTACGGTCCCTTATTGTTATGAGGGTTAGGAAAAAAATGTATGCCTTTAGGGCAGTACAGTCACACTGCTCTCACAAATCACTCAGATATCTGGTTATCCGGTCATAACTGTCATTCAACTGATATAACATATCATATCCTGAAAATGTTTTTCACTTCTTTACATCTCTTGGGTGAGTCACAATTTCAAAGGAAAATGACAAAGTCACAAATCGGCATTCTTGTTATAACTATTAGATGGGTGAAGTAGAAGGAAAACGATTTTCTACATTTTTATTTAAAGCAGTGAGGAGAATCACGGTCTCACCATGCAGGTCCATCCAGCTCTGCTCAGTAAACGGGAGGGTTTTCTGATTCTGCAACACTTCCAGGCCTTTGTGACCCGTGACCAGCCGCACCTCAATCACATCAGAGTCTGCTTCTCGCATGGCCACAGATGTCAACTTTGTTGCTTTTATAAAGGTTCCTGACAGTGAGAGAAGCAGACCAGTGTCATGGGAAACAGCCAGTTTAGCAGGTTAGCAGTGTGTATGACAAGAATAAAATTGTCATATGTATTTTTATTGTTGGTCAGGGGCGTGTCCAGTCTTTATGACTAAGGTGTCCCAAATTGGCGGGGTTTGTTTGCACAAACTCATTTTATTTTAAACCATTTTCTGCCTCAAATAATCACATCAGTGTTTCTATTATTCAAAATATAACATCAAAAAAACATTCATGCTCAATTCTTCAAAAACTCAAAAAGGTTTATCTCCTAAAGTAAAAGCATCAGCAAAAGAAACATTTCTTTATCAAAAAGCCACAAAAATTAGCTGCCTGTTGCAACACAAACAAATAAGTCCTGCCTTATAGCGGCGATAGCATTGGTGGCAAACAATATTTCAGATTTCCTTGCCACCCCAGACGACCTGTGGACACACCCTTTATGGTAGAACAAACAACAAATTCTTCAAGTACAGTAACTCACCATTCACTGGCTCAGTTCTGCCTTGGATTGTCAGATGTTTCTTCTCTGAGGACACCAAAGTGTACTCCCCTTTGCCGTTGAAGGAGTAGCTGACACCGTTGAATGTTATGAAGTGGGGATCTCCAAACACCACAGCTGGTATTAAAACACAAAAGTTAGGACATGACACAAATTCTAATCATTTAAAAACATAAACCTTGAATTAGTGAATTCCTCACCTGACCTGGGCGCCCTGTAGTGCCTGCAGTCACTGGACGGCCGGAGTTTGAAGTAGTTGGAGCAGTTGTCGGACCAGAGGCAGCAGTAGTAGAAGCTGAGCACATCGTACACCCAGTGGGAGTCACCAGGAACGCGAGGTGGCTTCATGAATGGAGGAGATCCCCATTCGTGTGCTCGGTCTGGACTGCTGCCCCCATTCGAGTCTGATGTGAGGACCTGAGCGCCAGTGCTGTCATAGCAGCACTGCTGTCCTGATGCGTATGTGGGGCTGTTAATAAATAAATAAAAACTCTGGCAATTAGCTTGAACACTTCTACAGCCAACAGAGGTTTTTCAATCATAGTAATGCATGTTTTAGCTGGTTAGGAAACAAAAGGACATTTACAATGATGTCTCTTTATGACATACAAAAGCAAACAACACCATCATTAATAAGCTTTATGATTCTTCTCTGTTTCTGTCTGTAAACAATGCCGCAGGGCAGGTGTTAGACATTGTCTGTATACTGAAGGATAAGCATTTAAAAACACATATTCCTATCACAATCATTGATACGATAGACTGTTAAAAGAGAGCAGGCTGATATTTTTACACACATATACAGGACTACTACTTATTGTCAGGGTGAGGTAGTGTGGGCCCATCTTTACGATGTAGATAAAAACACAGTAGGAAATAAATATGCCAAAAGATGGCCAAATGATATTTGTCTCAATTGGTATTTTCCATTAACAATATAAAAAATGTATATATTGAACCTTTTCAGGAAACAGTCAGTATCTATCCTTTTATATCTCACAGTTATGGGGCTTGATACTCCTCCTGAGACAGTTAAAAATTATATATTACACAAAGTTTTTGGACTAATGCAATTTTAAGTGCAAACCTTTTTTTGCAAATGCTACAACAGTAAAAAAAGCACAATGAAGAACAGTAGCTGTTACATGTAAAATAAAAAAGCTAAAAAAAACAACAACATTACCCGTCCTAATATGTTTAACAAATACTATGAATGCTATGAAAAATGCATTTGTTAAAATGTGATTATGACACTTTCACCCAACCCTGAGGTCAAAGAGGACAAGACTCACCTGGCGTGTACGGCCCTCACACAATGAACGCTGCCAGGATGGTAGGTGCACTCACTCCCTGTCTCTATATCACAGTATTGATCAGTCTGCATAGAGAGACACAGTGTGTGAGCAGGCAGCTAAACAGGCCTTTAACAGTGGTTGTTCATATTCCAGGTGCTGGTTTTATTAGAATACTACAAGCTGTTGTAAACTAGATAATTATAACTTTTACAGCTTCTGATTATACAGTGATTCCCTCTTTTTGAAATGATGCAAAAAATAAAAGATTTGAAGCGAGCTAATTCTAACGACTTCTTTTCAGCACACTGAAAGTGCTATGTAAACTTTGTTACATTCATCCAAACCAAAATCAATTTGTGAAGTTTTTAAACAGATTTGTTGAGCAGTTGAGAAAATGTACATGTAATGGCAAAAGTACTGATGCTAGTATTTGTTCGCTTGCAATAGAAATGTGTGATTGCAAATACTATAATACTTTGAGACCGCTTGACTCTTAGCTGATAATCAGGGAGCATTAGCGGAGGGCTGTCCGCACTTAAAATCACCATAAACAGACACATAAAGTCATTATGTTGATTATAGACACATTCCTAAATTCTGATGCAATTTCTCTTGAGTTTATCTACTTAATTACTGTTAATGAATTAATGTTTAAAGAGAGTCAAGATTGTTTAAGCTGCAATTGCTGCGATTTGCTTTAATGTGCACAAGTGTTATCAACACTTACATGAAACCTCCCTGTGTCGGCTCTGGCTTGAGCCAGAGTGCAGGGGCAGTCGATGATGTCATTGAGGAAGTTAGGCAGCTGATCTTCCAGTTTACCCCATGCTAAACATTTGTCTGAAGCCCAAGCTGTCGAGTTCTGCCTGAACTTCTCCTCCAGATGCCAGGCCAGAGCGTGATCCTCGGTCCATGCAGCCTGTACATTCCTATAACAAAAACAATTTAACTGTTATTTTGTGTGTTCAGTAATTGTGTACTTTCTACTACAATTTCTAATATAAATTATCTTTTTTTTAAACAAACCTTTAACATAATTATCTTTAAAGGATATTTGATCAGTGTGAATCCTTTATCGATTAGCAAGATTAATCATTTGTATTACAAATCTCTATAATTTTGCTAGTGTTGGTACATACCACATGCCATCCTTGTAGCAGCTGGGGCTGACACGTACAGAACCTAGCTCCCAACTTGAAAAGCCATTTTCTGCTGGTTTGGGCAGAAAGCTAAAGGAGCCGTTGTTGGTGTGATTCCTAGCAAGTGAGTACAGATATGCCCACTCACCCTGCCAGGTGTCTGTATAAGCTTTTCCTATAATAAAAAAAAAAACATTTTACACATTATACACAAAGAGGGACAGCTAGTCTCCACCACCTTCCATTGTACAAAAGTTAACATGGAGGAGGAGGGACTTATGACCTATACTGTAGCCAATCAGGAGGGGAAGCTTGAAAGGTTTTGGGTTCACTTGTGGGGAGATGTCATGTCATCTCTGGGTACTCACCTGTCTCTCTGTACCCCCACAGCTCTATGTTCACCCTCTTGGCTCTGACCAACGAGGTATTCCACGTCATCTCCAGAATGCCTCCAACATCAGGAGTACCATAGTACTGCCATTTTGTAGAGTTGACCAGAATCGCCTTAAACTTAGCATCTAACTTCCCAATATGAACTGTAGCAACATAAAAATATCAAATCAATCAATCTTTCACCTCATTTCAAAACCAAATACCAAAAAGCTACGTTAAAAGGACTATAGAATTTATCGTACCTGAGAGCCAGGATCCTTCTCTGCTGAATGTGGTGCCGTTATCAGAGGAGACTTGAAAAGGAACCCATCCAGTCTCGAATAACAATGGGGAGATACAATGGCCTCTACCACTTTCTTCCACATATCCCACAGTGTCTGTATTATTGTTGAACCTGCCAATATAAACAGTAGTCAGCAAGTGTTTGTACTTCAGCTGTATTTTGTTAGTACTATATTTTCTACTGAAGGTTTTTTTCTCTTTTCTTTATGCGTTTCTCAGTGGAGTGTCAGCAGGTCCGAGGAAGATCACGGAAACCAAAGAAGTAAGGCAAGATAAGGTATTACTAGAACAGGTTAAAGAAAATGTCAATACTGCTAAAAAAACACTATTTTTACCTGCACACAATGTGGGAAGTCTTATTGAAACTTGCTTCCAGTAGCATAAAATCAGTCCCACCCAGAATGGACCCAGAGTATGGAAGGATATCCACACAGTACTCTTTATAGTCGGTACAGCAGGTTCCCAGAGACGTGCATGTTGAGGAACATGAGCATTCGGGAAATGTTTCCCCACATCCAATTTCACATGACAGTCCTGTTAAAAAAAAACAATGTTGAGGCTACTCCTCTATTCTATATCAAGGAGTATCCAATGTTTACACAGAAATAGTGTTGATTTACTCATGGAGTAAGAAAGCAAACACAACCTAAATCGACATTTTTTTTTTCAGTTTATAAGTCTGTGTAAACTTACCTGATGTCCTGCAGATAAATAAAACCAGAGCGACAAATAAGACTGTGGTCAATCTTTCCATCTTGACAGGTTTTTCTCTGGCCTGTCCTCATTTTCTCCCAGTTATAGATTTTCAGCGTTTAAACTTTGGCCCTTCAACCACTGCAGAACCTCTGTTTAATCATCAACCAGAGGTCAGCCTACCCCCGCAGTCAGCAGACTGCGGGGGTAGTACCAGGACGCTGGTTCGGTGACAGCTAAGAAAGACTGCTGACGTTTGGGAAAGACCGGAACCGGGGTGTGGAGGCTTGGCAGGCTGAAGCACATCCTCTGTGAGGAGGAACCCATCATTAATCGCTATGGAAAGATATATTACAAGATACCCCCAGGGTCGGGCGAGAGCGGGGGAGGATGATCGACCCACAGGACAGACTATTGTTATGACCACCCATGACGGATAATTGACTACAGAACAGCTAAATAATTTATCCAGGGTCTGCAGATGTGGGAAGATTTGTAAAAACGAAAGGGGTCTGAAGATACATTAGTCAAGGTTGAAGTGCTTGCAACCTACCAGTAATGTGCAACTTGCAGGGCAACCTGGTGAGAGGGAGGAGAAGCTGAGGCAGGAGTCAAACCACAGTCCCCAGAATCTCCAAGCACGTAACGAGGTGGGGGGCAGGAACAGAATCGCTGATATATCAGAGGAGACAAGGCACCAGGGGGAGAGCGAAGACACTCTCGGCACAAGACAGCCTGTGCAGAGAATGAATGCAGGAGAAGCCAGGAAAGATCCAGTAAACTGGCCTGCTGTAGCAGGGAAAAGGGAATGGGAGGTGTTTGATCAAGACGTGGACCGGATGCTGGAACTAGTGACTGCAGGAGATGTGGGGAAGAAGCTCAGGGCTATGTCTGCGATCATCTGGAGCATGGGGCGGAGAGCTTCGGGAGGAAGGAGGTTAAAGCTATATCAAATGTCCAGCCAAAGGAAAATCGGTACTTGAGGGAGATAGCAATCCTAAGAGCCGACCTGCGGAGGCTAAAGAAGGCTTTTCGTGAAGCAGCAGAGGAGGAAAAACAAGCACTCACGGAAATCCGAGATAACCAGAGGGAAAAAAAAAAAATTAAGATTACGATAAGTAGTGCTACCGCAGAGACAGGAAGCGAAGGATGAAGGAAAGGGTGGACTTCACCAAGAAACTATTCAAATATATGTCAAAACTTCTGGGCGACAAAACATCAGGGGAGTTGAAATCTACAAAGGAGGAGGTAAGGAGCACCTTCGTCGAGTCCACAGTGACCTCAGAAGGAGGGATAGCTTAAAGGAGATGGGAAAACTCATCCAACCAGCGGAACCAACTATCTCCTTTGGTTTGGAGGAACCAAGTTGGCAGGAAGTCGGTAACTTTCTCAGGAATGCCAGAGGAAAATCAGCCCCAGGGCCAAATGACATTCCGTACAAGGTGTACAAATATTGCAAAAGACTCAGGAGACGGCTCTGGAAGTTACTAAGGGTGGCATGGAAGAAGAACTTCCTTGCTGATGGTTGGTTGGTTGCCGAAGGATGCTTCATCCCTAAGGAGGAAAATTCCACAGAGATCAACCAGTTCCACAACATCTCACTCCTCAATGTGGAAGGAAAGATCTTCTTTGGGATTTTGTCAAAGAGGCTGACCAATTTCATTTTGGACAACGGGTATATGGACACTTCAGTTCAGCCAGTTAGACCACCAGAAAGGTGGTGTAACTGGCTGTCTTGAGCACACAGTGTAATCTCCAAGATCATAGAAGATGCGAAGAGGAACCACAATGACCTGACAGTACTATGGCTTGACCTTACCAATGCCTATGGAGCAATACCTCACAAGCTAGTGGAAGCAACACTGAAAACTTGTCATGTCCCGGAACGATTCCAAAAGCTCTTGCAGTGCTACTTCAACAAATTCAAGATGCGTTTTACCTGCAGCAACTTCACTACTGACTGGCAGAGACTGGAGGTGGGCATTGTCACTGGGTGCACAATCTCAGTGTTTCTGTTTTCCGCAGCAAAGAACCTTCTTGTCAAGTCAGCAGAGAAGTTACGTCGGGGGGCAGTGCTGGCAAGTGGCATCCAACAGGTGCCCATCAGGGCATTTATGGACGACCTCACCATCACAGCAAAATCAGTACCTGAAGGGAGGTGGATTTTGGAGGACTTGGTTGAGCTCACCAATAGGGAAAGGATGGAGTTCAAACCTACAAACTCCAGAAGCCTAGTTCTAAGGAAGGGGCGTGTCCAGGATCAGTTTCGCTTTAAGATAAAAGACAACATCATTCCAATGGTGCAGGAGAAACTGGTGAAGAGCTTGGGGAAATGGTATTGGGTGGACCTCAATGACAAGCAGATTGTGAAGGAGATGCTCAATCAAGCTGAGACCTGGATGACATCTCTGGAGAAGAGCGGGCTACCCGGCAAGTATAAAGTCTGGGGATACCAACACGGGGAGCTTCCCAGATTGCTCTGGCCACTGCTCGTCTACGAGGTACACAGTTCCACTGTTGAGGGGCTGGAGAGGAAGATGAACACTTACCTGAGGAGATGGCTGGGGGTCCCAAGAAGCTTCTGCTCCATTGGCCTGTACAGCACAGGCAGCAAGCTACAGCTGCCAGAAACATCGGTAGTGGAGGAGTACAAGGCAACAAGAACCCGCCAGGTGATGATGCTGCGAGACAGCAAAGATGCAAGAGTTCGCCAGGCAAACATTGAGGTCAGAACAGGTCGTGTGGTCAGCCAGCAGAGCGCTGAGGGAGGCGGAGGATCGCCTTCACCATACTGACATCGTTGGGGCAGTAGCCCAGGGCAGACTAAGCCTTGGTTGCTCCACTAGAGCAAACTGGAAAAAGGCTAATGCAAAGCAACGCCATGGCATGGTTCAAAGGGAGATACGCAGGGCAGAGGAGGAAGGCAGACATGTCAAGGCGTTAGCCATGAACAAACAGGGCAGCTGTACGAGGTGGGAGAGTGTGGGGAAGGGTTATCTCCTCTGGAAATGTGAGCTGCTGCTTAAGGTCAGCCCGCATCTCCCAATCACTTGCCATGCCCAGGACTCCTTTAGTCCTCAACTCTGCTGTTGTTGTTGCACTTTCCCCTGACCTGAGAAAGTGGATGAAACGAGGACCATCAGTGAGTTGTTTTGGCCTCTTTCTGGCCTGTTCCACACCAGCAGCCAGTTGTGTCAGGATCTGGTCGTGTTGCCACCTGAATTTCCCATCAGCCAGACTTGACCCACACGAGGAGAGGACATGCTCCAGGTTAGCTGGCCTTCCACAGAGTGTGCAGCTGGGCCTTTCGGCCAATCCCCATGTGTGGAGGTTTGATGGAGTCAGCAGGACATCATACACAGAACACAACAGAAACTTGATCCGGTGTTCTTCCATGCCCCAGATGTCCTTCCAGGTCAGTGCCCTTCCCCAACTCAGACCCGACATTGTTCTCTGGTCTAGAAGTACCAAGCAAGTGATCCTAATGGAACTTACAGTACCCTGGGAAGAGAGGATTGAGGAAGCACATGAGCGCAAGCTCAAGAAATATCCGACTCTCATCCTCGACAGCCAGCGTAATGGGTGGAAGGCATGGAACCTCCCGGTGGAGGTCGGCTGCAGGGGCTTCGCAGGGCAGTCGAATGAGCGCTGGCAGAGCAAACCTGGGGAGGGAAAACATCAGAGTTGAGTGGCGGACTGCGGGGGTAGTACCAGGACAGGTTCTACCGTCGAGCCCCCCCGAGATGTCATGGGCTTAATGAAACTTATTTGAAAACCTGCATAAGCCACTCAACTCATGTCCAATTTGGAGGGGGGTGCCTTGAGGGAGGGAAAAGGAGAGAGCGATTCCACTGGCTCACAGATGGTGCAGGGGAGAGTACCTGTAAAGGTGAGCCGGTTGCGATAACCCCTATCGTATTTTGCACATTACCTTTGATCATCTCTCACCTCACAGCCAATCAGTATTTGGACAGTGTTAGTACGAATTTTCATGAAATTCATTCATCTTGGTAACTTTGTGAAATGTATTATTCAAGTCTGTCTACCACCTGTTAACACTCCTACCTTTAGGTGTCTGAAGCTGTAACCTTATATGGGTGAAGCACCTAAGTAGTAGCAGATCTATGTTTGGATAAGAGCCAACTATATGTTGTCAACAACTGTTTGCTAGACAGAGAGTCTACATCTGTTAAGTATACAAATCAGTGTCATGTCATCTTTATTTTTTTATGGTGATGCACCCAAATGGAAAGGAATTTGTGGGTTGCACCTTTTTGACAGAATATAAGCAGCACTGTGAACACTGTTACTTTGTCAGCACTTTGTCAGTCAAGTGATTTGGAAGCATGCTTGTTTGATGAAGTTGTCTGACCTCGGCCAATTAAATGATGTTATAATCTCCAGTCTGTTTCACGATTTCTTCATTGGATTTATACAAACAGAAACAACCCCCACCTAACAGACAGTTATGATGTGATTAATGGATTTACCTTCTTACTCATATCTTAGATAAGATAAAAGAAAAGATGGGGTAATACAGTAGTTGGATTAAACATGCATTACTGTAATGAGAATAAAATAATAAACAGTATATTGTACCCACATACACATATATCTACACATGTATTATCAATGTGTATCGCAGCAGTGACCTAAGACCAAAACAGCATAATGTTAGAGCTAGGTTACAAGTAAGCTTGACAAATGTCTACATTATCCAACAGTAGCATATCCAAATAAAACCCAGACATTTTGTAATATAAGTCTCCTTAATCAAAGAACAATGAAGTAAAACTGTTCCTTGTACACTGAAGAAAGAATCATGTTAAAGACATGTGCCCACAGTTTGCACAACACTTCCCTCAGCCGTTCCTTCAGTCAAAACTATGGTTAACAAAACCATCTCCATTGTTTATGAAACTGTGCCCACAGATTGTAAAATCAAGAGGCACAGACTATCAATGGGCAGGGGTTATAAACCGTAACTACTGATTTACACATTGCTCTTTTTAATTTGGACACCAGGGCTCCACACATTTAATCTATGATTGTGCAACTTTTATTATGTAGATATGTTCATGTTAG